AGGATGAGAAAGCTTAAAACTTATCCGACTAGCAAAATGTAAAATGGGAAAAGACATCAGTCCAACATGATGCTCAAGGCATATTGCCTGAAGAATAAAATTTTCATTAAATCTCCTTCCACACAAATTAATAGTAGTAGTTATTCTATTACTAGTATCCCTCCATAAAAACAATTATGTATCTTTGTTGGAATATTCAGTGCCCACAACCACTCTCATACTTTATTATCAGTAACATGCCAACTTTCAGCCTCTTTAATTTGAGATCTACATTTTTGTCTTCGTATAGTGGTCTCCCTCATTTACATTATAAACACATTTATAATTTTTAGGCCTTATCAACCTATCCTTTCCTACCTTTACTCCCTATAGGCAATATTCTCGATCACTCTTATGCGTTCCTCTGATAAACAAACCTTTATAGCCTTCAAATTTCACTTGTTTTTATTTTCATGCGTTTTCTCAAACATCATAGAATTAAATTCAAGTTTGTTTTTCAAAATGTAGCCTTGAGAGCATCACAAAATCACCCTAGATCCTAATTTTCACCATCTTTCTCCTCAATTGGTTTTCCTTAATTTTTCAATTTTAATCCAAGGAATTCCGAATTGAGGTAAGAATTTTTTTTCTTGATGCAGTTCCAAGTTATTTGAAGCTTTAAAATTATATTTCCATTTATATTTTCGGATGTACATGTTGTCTTCAACCTCAAATTTGCTTTAAGAGCTTCCATGGTGAAATCTTAATTTGATCATATACTTTTTATTTTAAAACACCATAAGTTATCTTTTATGTTTAATAAGAGATTTCTAACATGCGTTATCTTAAAATCACTATATTAGTAATTAATTTTGAAAATTCCTCTTGAACTGTTCTTGATTTTGAGTTAGTATGAATCATAGGATTACTAGGTGGATTATTGTTTCTAAATAGTTACTTATGTCAGTAGAATGATTAATTAAGTTTTAGAATTCTTAAATTGGGATTTAAAAAAGACTGGTAATGAAATTTGAGGAAAAAATGTCTAATAATTGAAAAAGGTTGTAATGAGTCAAGAATGGAGCAAATGATAATTGTGTTAAAATACGTTGATAAAGAAACTTTATATGTGAAAGATTTTTTATATAGTCAATGTGAAGGAAATTACTTCACTTGCAATGAAGAAACAGATTTGTAGTGATCTTTCACATTATTGTTTGAATGTGAAAAACTTAAAAGGTTAATGATATGGCAAAGCTAGCAATATGTACAGGGAATTCAATGGTTTGCAAGTATTACTCCTTAAATAATGTCCATTTGTTTATTACGTTTATTATTTTGCTCATAGATTACAATTGACCTTAATGGCGACATCCAAATCAGTGATTTGATTATCATCATAAATTTAGTTATTTTTTTCATGCAAGAGACAAGAGATGCTCAAGTAAGTCATATTGCATATATGACTAACTATTGAAGGGTTGTACACAAAATATGAGAGAGAAAAAATCAAATTAACGCTTTACAATGTGCATGAAATATAAGGTGAGATTCCCATTTAATTTCTCTTCGTATGTTACTCAAGATGTTTGATATCACTTTTTTTGTTCTCAAGAGCATCATAAGTGATGGAAATTTGATTAAGACAAATAAAGTATATAGTGTTTATGATGTGATAACATTTTTTAAATTTGTATTCATCTTGCCGGTGGGTAGACCAACAAATAATAATACTTGCTTTTAGAAATATAAATTTGTAGTAACAGTAAGCAAGGTCGAATCTACAGGGATTGAGTAGATTTATTTTAATGAAAATTAAAGCAAATAAAAGAGGTTTTAAAATCGAGAAGAAATCAAAAAGAAAAAGCGTTTAAAATCAACCAATAATTTAGAGAGATTAATATTAAGAAAATATCCAACTAAATGTATAATTTCATAATTGGTTCAGAGAATTGATCATAGATGCAAAGATAAAATCTTCTACTTTTCACTAAATTGGTTATGGTTATTGAGAAGCTCTAACAACCTGTCTCTCCTTAGTTTCTCGATAATCAAGAGGAGCTCTTTGATTATTTCCCTTGTTAATGAACAACCCTAGACAAGCCCTTAAGATTTAATCCACCAACAACATTAACCACTAGAGGGACCACCAATTCTAGCCAACGAATACACAAGCTCGATTCATTTAGACTAGGTTACATACCTTCATAACATAATCAAAATCAACTATATTACTTTACCACTAATATTAGAACGTTTAAACAATTACGGATTTAAAGTTCTAAATGACAATTTATCAACTTGATAATTGGACAACGGGCCCTTTGCACAATCAATCAAGACGATAATTCTTAATAAAAACAGAATATATATAAATAGCAAAGAAGTAAAAGAACAATGAAAATTATTTAGATCTCACAATCCTTGAAGAACCAAAACTTCAATTATTCTCCAGTTGGAACAAAAGTATTTAGCCACTCATAATTGAAAGAACGCCAAAAGAAAAACTTAAAGAAAACCTAATGAAAACTTGATAAACAAAAACTAATGTCCTAGCTCCCCTTTTATAAGGATTTTCCTACTATAGATAAGGAAGTTTCCCTTAAAGAAAATCCCACAAAAATAGGAGTTTTAAATGCCCTCATCCTTTTCTAAAGATAAGAATAATATTCAAAAGAGTCTTCTAGCCGTCATTAAACTATTTTTCCCTTGTAAATTCATAACCCTAATTTAAGGTTATACAGACTGATAAAGCACGCCCACGCCTTAACTGAAGACTTCTTCTGTGATAGCTCATGATGAATAAGTCGTGTCCACGCCTTATGCGAAAATCTCTTCTGGTCTTGCCAACTTCTTGAATTCCGATTTTTCTTCCTTAATTTGAGGATTTTGTGAAGATCATGCTAGTCATTAGATTTTGAACTTGTTTTATCCAAATCTTCAACCTAATCCACAAAATACGAAATATAATCAAAATCCATGATTTAAGCAATTTTAGTTATTCAAATATGAGGAAAATATCATAGAATATATGTCTAATATGCATCTTATCACTTGCACCTCATAATAAACCTTTTGAGCATCACTAATGATCTTAGTCAAGCTTTACAACGTCAATCTCAAGATATCCTAAATGATTTGCATTTAGTATCAAGTGAAAAAAAATACTCATACAAAGGTTTAGAGAAGAAGGGTGGGTTCTCTACTTAAAAAAGTAATGTCATTTTGTTTAAAACTGCAATAAGGCCTCAACTTCATCGAGATGCCATCTCAGATAGACATCATTACCATGTTAATATATTTATCTCTATTTTCAAATGCATTATATGAACATTAGATTCGAAGATGACATAATAGAGTTATTTAAGCTTAGTTCTACTTTAAATCTAATGGACGATCGTAAACAATTTTGTATTGATGATATATTCAAGCTTAGAAATAAATTATATCCAAAAGATTTCACGGAGCATGAAAAATTGTATTTGAAAGTTTCAATTAGGATATTTTGAATTAGAAGTTCGAGAGAGTCTTGAATGAAGAAAGGCATTACCAATATCATAACTTTATCAAGTGTTAACAAAGATTAAAAAGTCAATTATTTATCATCTTCTTGATTAATTTATGTGTCTTGTTTTGACTCTTCATGTTTCTATTGCAACCACACAAAGAGCTTTCTCAATAATAAAGTTACTGAAGACCTAGTTGCGCAATAAAATGAAGGATGTATTTTTTTTCTTCAAGCTACTTAATAACATATATTGAGAAGGAAATTACACATGATTTATATATGATTCTTTTATCGATGACTTTGTTATTATGAAAGAACATCGATCACAATTTTGAATGCATATTTTTGACATATAAGAAGATTCTCTTTGTGATATTTTGTTTCTTCATAATTATTACTTCTTTTGGAAGTTATTTTTAATTTTTTTTCTTAAATATTTTAGGAGTTAGCATATAATTCAAATCTTTTTAGTTCGTAAATTTTATTTCTAACATGTAAAGCTCTAGCATAATGGTGTAAATTGTAAATCGTTTTTTAAGAGAAAAAAGAGAATGAGAAATGTTATTTGATGTGCATATTTATCTTACTAATTATTATGATTATTTTTCTAAATTGTCTTATGTCACCATAGTTTTATTTTTTCTAAATGTAAAAGTTTGTGGCTATTAGAACGTTGCATTCGTCCCGAATAACAACTAGAGTTAAGAATGCTAGGATTAAAAAAATAGTATGAAATATAATAAAAGAATATCTTAAATTTTTTATTTTTTTAAGAAGAATATCTTAAAAATTACATTATATTAATTATAATTTATTAAATGGTAAATTACAAATTTACTTACTAAACTTTACTTTCTCACCTATTTCACTCATCGTACTTTAATTTTTTTTAATTTAATCACTAAATTTTATGCATTAAACATTTTAAAGCTAAATATATACAAATCATAATTCGGAGGTCTCCCACGGAAGTTGCTCTCAACCTGGCATTGGGGGCAGCTTACTATCCTACCTTCCCTTACCCCATTACATATGGGAATGAGGGTCAACTAATTTTATTTCCCCATTACATATAGGAATAAGGGTCAGCTAATTTTTTTTAAAATACAATTACGAGATAGTAAAATATATAATGAGTATTTATATATTTAATAATATTAGATTATCAAATATATAATGAGTATTTATATAAATGATCAAATATGTAAAAGACATGAAAATCCCAAGAAGATAAGGAGAAAACGCAGACAAAATCAAGAGGTGCGTTAAGATTAAGGTGACCTATTCAGAAAATAAGCATTTAATGTAGCAAACCAAGCAAAATTATCCAAAAATAAATAAATAAAACACTCACAGAAACTATCGACAGTTGCAACTTCTGTGCATAAAGATTATAAGACATGATAATAATGTATACATCTAATGCTTAAATTCATTTTTAAAATATCCCAGAAACCTACCGAAGCCTCCTATTAAACAATTTTCTTTTAGGTACTAAAAGGTTTGATCTTTTTCAAGGGTTGTAAAAGTGATCATCACAGCGGCATTTCCAACCAAGAGGCTTGTAATTGTTGTATTGATTGGCTGATGATGGTTCAAAAAGCTCCATGGAGTTAGCCATTGCTTCGCCCGAATTACCAGCTCCTTGAAACTGGTCCTGGGCCTGGCTAAGTGATGGTGAAGGTACTTGGACTGCCATGCAAGGGTGGCATCCATTGCATTTGTTGTGGCAGCTTGGAGGAGTTGACCCCAACCTTGTTTTATTTTCAAAATACAAACCCTGTTGAAAAAAACCCAAGTCCCATTACTAAATTCATCAGATATCAACATATGTAAACATGGTGGAAGAAATGAAAGAGAGAGTTGATCAAGGCTTGAATCCTAACCTGATAGAGGGAAGAGGATGGAGACAGAAGAAGTAGAAGGCAAAGGGAAAAGACTGCAGTAAGGAGGAGAGAAATTAGTGAACTCATAATGATCATGAAACAGTAATATGAGCATTGGGCTACCCCAAAAAAAGAAAGCAATGAGATGGAAAATATCAATGGAACTCTTAAACTGCAAGTACATACGAAACTAAGTTTAAGTTCTGCTGCAAAGTAAAACAAAGTAAGAAAGAGAAGAAAGTAGTAAAAAAAGAAATAGGGTAGCAATGAGAAGAGTGAATAGGAAGAAAAGGAAGGGAATGGTTCATAAATTGGTTATGTGGTGATGGTCTGATGAAAGAGAGAGAGAGAGGGAAGTGTGGCAGAGGTGAAAGAAACAATACAGGAAAATGGGAAACAAATTGGGAGAATCTGCATCAGAAAGGAGGGGAGGGGACCCAATGACTCCATTTCTATCTTTCACTTGATTGGTTCTTCAAAGGCCTGTCTCATTTTAGCTGTTAACAAAGCAAAACTTTTTTTTTTTTGGGTGTCTGAATGCGGGTGAAAAATGCAAAAGGGAAGGGGGAGGAATGGTAGTAGTGGTTAATTTCCAGCATTTACTGACTGCCAACTCTTGATTCCCAAGTTTGCTTCATTACTCGCTCTCATTGATTGAAGGACATTTCTGAATCTTCAATTGATTTTCTATCCGCACATAGTTTTGGTTGTTCGAGTTCGAGCAATTATATTGGTTGTTTGAAGTTTTAGATTTGAATATCATGAATGTTTGTGATGTGAGCACTTAATATTAAACAATTAAGAATTATTTTTTAACATATATTACATTGTACTTATCACATATTAATCAAATATATATATATATATAATTTAAAGTTTAAGTTGCTATTTTTGTTTCAATGATTAGAGGAAATTGTTCTAATTACATGTTTAATTTACGATTCTAATTATAAATGTTTATTATAATTTAGAATATATCATGTTTTGAATAAAATTAGTGATTTCTTTCTAAGAAATAAAAAAGTTTATTTAAAATTTTATATAAATTCAACGAAGTGTATAAATATAATAACATCTAATAGTTGAATCGAATAGTTTACCGTAAATAATATCCTAAAAGTATTCATTAGTTCAATATATATATATATAAACTATTGCTTTTGTTTTATTTTGATCATCAATTTTAAAATTTTATCAATCTAATCACTTAATTATTTAAGTGTTCCAATCAAAATACCAACAAATAATATTTAACATAGGAACTGGTGTGGCTGTTAAAAATATTATAATTACATAATAAGTCCTTAATATTTAAATATTTTATCAATTTAGTCATAATTCTAATACAATTTAATAAATTTAATCTCCAATTAAATGGTGACATACTCATCGCTAAATTAATTGGAGACACGTGTAATCATTTAATTGGAGATTAAATTTATTAATTGTATTAAATTTATGACTAAATTGATGAAATATTAAATATTAAAGACTAATTGTGTAATTATACTATTTTTTTAATAGTCATGTAGGCTCCTCCTTTAAATATTAAATTTGATTGGAACACTTAAATAATTAAGTGGTATGATTGACAATATTTCAAAATCGGTGATTAAAAAAAATAGACAATAATTAAGTGGTCATACGAATAATTTACCCTATTATTTAATATGTGTTTTTTTAACATGTGAAGAGTAATTGTTATTTATATAATTGATGTAATAGTATATGTATTTAAAATGAAGAGTAATTGTTGCATGACGGTATAGGTGTAATGTGCCTTGAATGACCATAGTGAGCTGCCAAGGGGGAAACAATGATTAAAACATATAAATCGATGATCGATGCAGAGCTTGTTGTTTTATTAACATACCGTCTTCATGTAAAATGATAGGTGATCAAGACCAAGGCAAACTAAAAATATTCGAGTGTAGATACACGTATATTAATAATATAATTCTTTTATTTAGATAAATATAAATAAAATTTTAAAATAAATATAATCGATAAAATAGATAAATAATATAAAAAGAATCAGATTTTATAGTAAACATTTTCCCTAACCCTAATATAGATCTACCATTGATCAAGACAAGAGTTATCTTAACTTGTCGAGAAACTAGTGTGGAGCAATAATTTCACGTTATTTTATGAGTTCAATGGTTAATATTAAAAGGCACAATGTGAAATATATGTTTTTTTGACCCCAAATATTTTATTTTAAGATAAGATTTATACGTCTAACTAAATAATCATTTTAATCATTATTTGTTTTTAGTATTTTAGCCTCTAATAATTTATTTTAAAGTAAAAGGGTCTCTACTTTTGGAAAGCTAACCTTTGTTAACAAATGATTTCCATACACAAATGAGTTTTTTGGCCTCAAAATAAAATATTGGAAATGAAAAACTCAAAATGTTAAAGAAGAATAAATGTGAAAGTTACTATTTAATAAAATTTTAGGGGCATTTTTCTTTATTATGTCATTTTAAAATTAAATTTTTTAACATGACACATTGTTAAACTAATGAAATTTAATGGTCCCATTATCAAAATTGTAATAAATCGATAAATCAAAATATTACTTTTTGAAAAAGGCTTAAATATACCATTACCCCCTAAATTATGGCGTTTGTATCGAGTTGCCCCTTAAAGTATTTTTCGAGACGTTTTGCTTCCTGAAGTTTAAATTGTTACCTCAACTACCCCAAAATCATTAACTCCTTTAAAAAACACAGAGGTAAATTACATATTTAGTTACTCAATTATTTTTATGGTTCCATTTCGGTCACCAAACTATTTTTTTATCAAAAATGCCGCAATAGAGGTGAACCTTAGTGGCGTTTGGTATTAAAACGCCGCAATAGATTCGTACCTTAGTGGCGTTTTTTGTTGAAACGCCACAGTAGAGGTACACATTAGTGGTGTTTGTTATTACAATGCCGCCTTGGGATGCATAAATCTCCTCCCCTGAATTTGTAATGTGTTTCTTTCTAAACCTTTCTTCCTTCATCCTCAGCGAGCATCTTCATCAAATCGGCACGTTAGTCACCACCGTCGCGCCGCCTGTCACACTGCCAGTCACTCCTCAAGGCTCAAAATCCAGGTACACTTCTAAATCTCTTCTCATGGAATCCATGTTAATAAAAACCCTAAGAAGACTAATCGGTTTAAAATCTCCAATTGATGAAGGATTATCATTCTTCCATATAAAAAATAACATATTGAATCTGTTCGGCCTTGTCCAGAACTCTTTGAAAGTCTCTGCACCGCAATTTATTGTCCATTTGCTAGTGTCCCCCGGAAATCTTTACAATATTTCAATGAGAATTCAATAAAATCGTATACTTATAGGTCACTATACTAAATTACAGTAGTCGTGGTTGCTCTACAAACTCATAAGATTAAGTATAAACAGTGTTAGTTCTTCAAGAAGTTTCATGAGTTTGTGGCTGCTCAGCCTTGTCCAGAATCCTACAAGTCGTTGGATTATTTGTTTCTACTGTTTTGGTCTAATTATTTGTTTCTACTGCAAGGTTTTACTGTTCCAATGAATGTTCTGTTTGTATATTATATTCCTTAAAGGTTTAAATAACTTAACAACCTAGAGGGATATATATGAGGATATATAACCAACCTAGAGGGACTACATTAGAAGTGTTTGTAAGTCTTGAACTGGTATTCTTTTAAAGTATAGTTTGCCTATTAAAGCTACAGGGACAACTGCTGAAAATTTTGCGAGAAAGGGAGTTGAAAATTGTATGCAATTTTTCAATTGTTCTAAGGTGTAGTAATCATAACGATCAACTTAATGGTGTAAAACCAAGTCTAGTTCACACTAGATTTTTGGGACACGACTTCTGCTGGTAGTTGCAAAGTGGGGAACTTTGTTGACAGATTTTTAGTCTCTAATCATGTTAGGTCAAAATTATGGATAGGCAGGAAAATTTATATTTTGTTATCAGATGACATCTCTTTAAGGTTAGAGGCTAAGAAATCTGAATTATTACCAATAAAGGATATCAATTTGAGTTGAACTTTAAGTTTTATGTCCATTTTAGTTTATCCTTAGTTAAAATAGTTTGCTTTAGAGCATGATAGTCAATGTGGTGTGGTGTGTGTCCTTTCTCCATATATTTAATGGTTAATCCATTTCTTATGGGTTTTTACTGAATGAAAAGTCAAGATAATCTGTTGGCTTATCTTGACTTTTTGGTTGCACATTACCTCAATATAATTGAAACTCGAATGTCAAGTTTGAGGGGTTCTATGATACTCTTGATAATACTTGTTATGCTATCTTTAGTATTTGATATTATATTAAGTAACAATAAACCTTAAAATTAATATTAAGTGATAAAAGCATTAACAATCTGCTTTGCATTTAATCTTGATGCTAAAAAATTGAAACACATTGGTCTATGAATAATTTGGCCTCTGTTATACCATGCTAAAATTTAACCAAAACCAACTGGCAGTGTCAAATTATATGATATGCTGAGCTCTTCTCAGAATTATAGTATAATTTGCTTACCCTGTACATAGCTATTGATCTGATAAAAATCTAGCGTTCTATTCAAAGGGAACTGAGAAAATTAACATGAGATAGTAAAATTTGATCACTTCGAGGGGATCAACCTCCAAACAGTTGTCAAAAGGCTTTTTTTTGTTAATATTTTATTGTTTGAGAAAATAACCATAGGGCATAACATATTTTTAGAGTTTATAAATCTTTAATGACCAAGAATTAGGGTTTTCATACAAGGAAATAGAAAATATTTAAGGAAATTAAATATTCTAATATAAATTCATAAGATTAATGAATCAATTTAAAATACTGAAATCCTAAAATTGTGGAGTAGTTGTTACATATTCAACTACAAGTTATGCTAGTGCCAGAGACAACCATCCTGCAGAGGGAGATGTAGAATATTATGGAATCCTTACAGATATCATTGAGTTGGATTATTATGGCAAACGAAAGGTTGTGTTATTCCGGTGTGATTGAGATGATGTAAATAGTACTCGAGGAATTAAAAGAGATCAATTATGTTTTACAATGGTGAACTTTTCTCGATTAATTCACACTGGTCAACAATTGATGGATGAGCCATATGTATTTTCTTCTCAAGTCAAACAAGTTTTTACTGCCACGATCCAATAGATGAGGGTTGGTATGTTGTACTTCATAACACCCCTAGAGACTTGATAGACATTGGGGATGGAAGTAGAGATGACATAGAAACAAGATCATAAACTTTGCCTTTTGTAGAACAAAATTTAGATGAACCTATTATTGGTACTAGTTCACAATTTCAATGGGTCCGGGATGACATGGATGAAGATATTTATGAAAATTGGTATGGCATAACAATGTAGTTAGATGTTATATCTTAATTGAGTAATTTATAATGTTATCATTTATATAAGTTGATATCGTTGAATATATATATATATATATATATTATTAGTATTGTTGTCGATATTTACTAATATTGTTGTTTGTTTATTGCAGATAATATGCCTAGAAGAAAATTAAGTGATCTGCGGATTGTTCGAGATCCTACAGAGGAGGAAATAATGAAGAGTCGATTAGTGTTGGATCTACAGAGGAGCCGAACACCGTTGAAGAAACTGTAGAAATTGAAGGTAATGTTCAACTCCTTATTTAAATAATGATTGATTTTCTTATTGACTTGATTTTGAAAAACCACACTAAATTATTTATTGTGTAGCTGAAAATGGTCAAAGGCGCAAGAGTAGAGGTCATACGATAATGAAGAAATTGTAGCAATTTCCTCTTGGGGACCTTGTTAGAGTTTCAAGTAACGATGTCAGTCAACCTATTGGGACAAAAACACGTGTTCTATTAGGTTACCTAGTCATAATTGCATGAAATTCAAATATTCTACCGATCAATTATGAGTCATGGCGTGCGAAGCCCAATAGTAGCAAAAACCAGGCTATGTATTGCATTAAGATAATAATTTCATTGTAAAAAATTATACATTGTACTTCAATAGTAATATATATTTACTTTCAACACTTGTATAAATTATAGGAGAAATTTTTGAAAGAGGTCTCAGATGAATATTTGAAGCAAGCATTATGAAAGAAATGGAGAGACCACAAGAGTTTCTTAAAAAAGAAATATTTTAAGAACAACCTCAGCCTTGAAGTAAAGCTGCAAAATGCCCCACCTGGAATGTTCAGATATCAATGGGAAGATACAGTGAAGTTTTGGAGTTCAAAGAAAGGAGAGATATGATGCACTTTGAAAATAATATTATGCCACTAAACTATTGACTTTATAAGTCATGTGGAGTTCAAATTGTAGGACCGAGAGCACGTTAGTATTGCTAGTAGACAACAACAAAAGTTTACTCACACTGTTGGATCGAAGAGCTTTGCTCGTGTAGTTCATGAACAAGTATTCGCGTTTTAATTATGATTATTCATATAGTCATTTTAAGTTGGTATCATATAGTTTTTAACCATTTTTTTCTATTTTTTCTTACTTTTTTGTAAGTATTAATTTATATTCACCATTGTAGGAAATAACGTCCGGCAGTAGAGCTGGTCGAATACAGCTCTTTGAAATCACACATACAAAAAAAAGATGCTCTCCTATGGCTCAAGAAGCTGCAGATATTATGGTATATTTACTGGACATAAAATTTTCATTCTGTTATATTTATAGTATGAAATTGTGTATTTTAAATAATTCTTGAATTTGTTCTACGTTCTAAACTGATTATCAGGAAAAATTGAGCGATAAAATGGTAGAATATGAAGCTACGGGTTCATCCCATGCTTCTATTAATGGGGAGGAGATTGAAAATCAAGTTATTGTTGAAGTTTCCGGTCCTGAAAGATATGGTCGAGTTCGATGTCAGGGATCATTTGTTACTCCAACCAAATTCTTTGAATCCAGATCGTCTCAGTACATGTCATGTACAGATAGTCTTCTCAACAAGAAGTTATTCGATTAAAACAACAGCTGAGTGAATTTGATGAAAAAATTGCTAAAATGAAAGCCGAAGCTAAAGCGAAGGAAACAAAGAGAGCAACGAGAGAAGCAGAGAGAGAAGCATCATTTTAGAGAAAATATGAAGAACTTCAACAGCAAATTGAAGCTATGAGGCAGATGATGCAACATAATCAAACGAATAATTCATCATCCTAGGTGTTTTCTTAGCTTAATGCTTACTTTATGTTATTGAAAAATGTTGAACTACATTATATTTAACTTCAATGTTTGTAAACTTTGATTTATTTATGTTTTTATGTATTATTACTTAATTTGAATCTTAATTAAATTTACTATAAGTTGTTGGATATTGTTACAGGTTAGATTTGGGTAATACAAAATACGAAAAAAATATGTTAAAATCATTTTCGATTAGCGGTGTTTTAGGGGCAAAACGCCACTAATGGAGTGCATATAAACCGACGATTTTAAGATTAAACGCCGCTAAGTGACCAACTTATTGCGATGTTTTTCACTACAAACGCTGCAAAATATTTATTCTATTGCGGCGTTTATGGTCGCAAACGCCGCTAAATATCTAACATGTTTCTGCAAAACAATTATAAATATTAAACATATTGCGGCGTTTGTATACTAAAACGCCGCTAAATAACCTGACTTTTAACGGCGTTTATAAGTAGAAACGCCGCTAACAGTTGCAGCGTTTGTAATTGCGGCGTATTTTTTACGCCGACAGCATTTTTAGCGGTGCTTTTAAATGTCGCTATTGACTACTTCTCGGTAGTGTAATGTTATTGGATTCGGGGGTTTTGCTCACAACTCCTCTGGCTGCACTTTTCTCGTTGTTGCAGGAAAAGAATGTTGTTGTACATGCTTTTTAGCTTTTAGTCTTGTTTTTATTCCTTTATTTACCCATCCATATATATATATATATATATATTTTAAAATAAATCGAATCGAATTAGGTGACCAAACGGAACAAAAACTTAAGTTTAGTGATGATTTTGAAAAATAAAATAGTTTAGTGGTAAAAATGGATCCGCAAAAATAGTTGTGTAACACCCCAATTTAGGGGCTAAATTTTAGAAATTATAAAGTTGTGGATTTAATTGGTATTTTGGAAGAAAATTGAAGATTAAATTATAAAATCGTAAAGTTGGCAAACCATTTTAAGAAGTACAGGAAGTTCAGTGGCTAAACCCATGATTTAACCATTTCTTATATATGATGAATTATAAGCTCTTCCCCGTGCGCAGGTTTCATATTTTCCAGATTTTCCTTCTCCAACAACCCTCCTTCCAACTCCGATCTACTCGCCGTCCAACCTCCGATCGACGAGCCGAAACCACCATCGTGTTCGTTGTCAACCAAGGAACAAAACCCCTCAAACCTTTCGTCGTGAATCGTCACCGTTAGTCGTTAATTTCAGTCGGAAGTATCGTCGGTAATAACTCGGTTTTAGTTGGTTTTCATCGATTCACGACGATCCGAGCATCCGTTTACGACATCTCCCGCACCATCGTGTTCCTTGTTCTGTTTCGAGTCTGTCGGGGTCATCCTTGGTCTCTGTCGATGGCGGCGCGTGAGGAGGTGAAGCAGTCAAAGATTCCGATTTGTTGAATTCGAGCTCTCCTCCGTTCAAAATTTTGAACCGAGCTTTGTAAGTATCTCGAAATCGCTCAAAATAATTTTTAGAAATTTTTCTGTGAATTTAACGAAGCCGGAACAGTGCCCACGCGCTGCCACTGTGCGTGGGGATGGTCCAAATGACCGGTTTGACCGATTTTGGTGCATAGTTGACCGGTTTGACCGGTCATAACCCGACCCGACCTGACCCGTTTACCCGATCCGTTGACCGTTGACCGGCGTTGACCACTGTTGACCAAAACTTTGACCGGGCATTAAACGACCTTTGACTTTGACCTAGTATACCTATCGACGTTCCAAATCCGATTCCGCTGTCCGTTTTTCGAAATTCGGACTCCAAG